CGTTGGCTCGTGGCAGGATGGGGTCTTAGTTGTATGTTGCAAGCATGTGTGTCGCCGGCCGTTTCTCGGGCTACTCAGTAAGTCGTCGTCGTCGTCGTCGTCGTCGTCGTCGTCGTCGTCGTCGTCGTCGTCGTCGTCGTCGTCGTCGTCGTCGTCGTCGTCGTCGTCGTCGTCGTCGTCGTCGTCGTCGTCGTCGTCGTCGTCGTCGTCGTCGTCGTCGTCGTCGTCGTCGCGTCGTCGTCGTCGTCGTCGTCGTCGCGTCGTCGTCTCGTCGTCGTCGTCGTCGTCGTCGTCGTCGTCGTCGTCGTCGTCGTCGCGTCGTCGTCGGTCCACCGTTGACCCCCATTTTACTGATGGTGTAACTGACCTGTGCCATCCCCGTTGCGTGGACCTTTGTCTCTACGAGAACATATATTTGCCCCGTGGGGTGTGCGGTGTTGCGTGCCCGGCTCAGGTCCTCTCTTCTTTTCTCTTCGCTCCGCGCCGCCGCCGCCCCCTGCTCCCGTGCCGTGCTGTGCTGTTGCGGTGCCGTGCCGCGTCGTGCCCTGCCCCTGGTCCCGCTTGCTTTTTGCTGGGGGTGGGCTGTGCCGGTGCTGTGTCGTTAGTCGTGCCCTGCCCCGCCGCGTCGTGCCGTGTTGTGCTGCCCCCCGTCCTGTGCTCCACTGGGCGTCCTTGTTTTATATTGTGGTGCTCATATGCTTCCGGCTGTCTGTCGGGCAGCCCCTGGCTGGCCGGGAGGGGGCGGGCGTCGTCGCTTCCGTTGTCCTGTCAATTCCCCACATGGTCAGCGTGGCTGGGTATGCCGATGTGCTGTCGCCTGTGACGTTTTCGCAGGTTGGGAGGATGTCGGCATTACCCTCGCACGCTCATGCCACTGCCGCTTTGTTGGGAGCCACGGGGCTCAAGGACAGAAAATGCCGAGGGACATCAGTCGCTCCCGTTCCCAGGGGCGGGACCGCCGCCGCCGGCTTTCTCGGAGCCAGCGCAGCCCTGTCAGCCGCCATAGGCGCCGCGCTGACTCGCGGACACCCAGCCGCCGCAGGCGCCGCGCCAGCCAGCGCAGCCTTAGTTCGAGCAGCCCGGTGCCATCCATTGCTCCGACGGAGAAGGCCCCCGCTGAGGGCGGGGATGCTAGTGTAAGTGCTGCTCCAGCGGTCCCTGCGGCCCCTCCCCGCCGGGCAGCCCGCCCCTGGGCGTCTTCGGCGCTCCGCTGGGCTGGATTGGCATATCGCCCCAGCGTGTGCATCGGCATCATGCCTCAACGGTGAAGGCGCAGCCCTCCGTGAGGGAGCCCGCTGCCGCTTTCGAGGGCGCAACGGTCGGGCTCGCGCTGCCGCAGCTCCAGCCGCAGCCGCCGCCGCCACCGCCGCCGCAGCAGCTGTCCATGCCCCACACTCCGCTGAGGGCGCCACCCACCGCCAGGGAGCAACAGCAGCCCTCGCCAGGACCGCCGCCTACGAGCCCGCCACCCTTCCCGTCTGGGTGGGAAGCGCGACGTGCGCTTAGTGGGGCGCTCTACTTCATGCCTCGTGCCTCGGGAAGCCGCCAGTGGGACCACCCGGGTGACGTGCGAGATTCTCAGCCCAGCCCACCAGTGGAGCTTGCGGCCGGGCACCCTAGACAGCCGACGCTCGAGGAAATGAAGAGGGAGTTCCAGGAGCTCCAGGCCCGCCGCGGGCCGTGGGAGGAGCTTCACAGTCCTGCTTCCGGCAACCGCGTGTGGCTGCACACTACATCCAACCTCATCGTTCGTGAGAGACGCCTCCAGGAATTACGGGTCCACTTGAATGAGCATGCCATTCGCGCCAAGGCCACCACGGCTGCGCCCCAACAGAACTTGTCTTCGGCACCCCCCCTTCTGGCGGCAGACCACGCAGCGGCTGCCTCAGTTGGTCCCATGGCCGGCCCTGCTGAACCTGCGCCGTGGCCGCCAGGACTCGCGGGTGCTCCACCTGCCCCGGCTGCGGCCCCGGCAGTGCACCCTGCCCCGGGTGCCGTGCCCATCCCGCTGGTGCCTCCCCTGGGCGCCGCGGGCGCCCCAGCCGCCCTCGCCGGTACCCCAGCCGCACCCCTTGCCTTGGGCACGGTGCGCCCACCGGGTGGTGTTGTGCGCCCAGGAGCGCCCGTGGACCCCCGCGTGTACGCGCAGCTGTCCACCTGGGAAAAGGTGAAGTCGGCTCACACCGCCTGGCTTGCCTAGGCCCGTGAGGCGGTGGGGAACAAGCGTGCCGTCAAGCTCGTCCTGACATTTGCTACCCAGTGCCACTCAGAGGTTCATATGCACAACGTCATGGTCGCTCTCGGCGTCCACACCCCCCCCCCCAAGTCTAAGCCGTCGCACCCGGCGCCGTGTGGGGTTCCGAGGGGTGATAACACGCAGCCCGCAGTTGAAGTCACGTGGAGCTTGAGCCCCAAGCAGACCATGATGTTCCAGCTCGTCAACCGTGGAGCGGGCAGGGTCTTGGTGAGGGCTTGCCGCACCGTATCTCAGAACACATTGAGGCCGTCCAGTCGGTAGTGCCCAGCGTCCCGGAGCCTCGCGCCGAGTTGGTATCCGCTGCTGCGCCAGCCCGCTTGTCTGCCCGGCAGGCCCTTGGGGCCCCTGGCTCGGCCGCTGTCGCCGCTCCCGCTGCAGCGCCGGCCGGTGGGCCCCCCCCCTTGCCTCGGTATCAGTGAGAGTGTCAGGCTCGGTTGCGTCTAGCATCTGAGTGAGTGGTGCGCAACCAGTAGTAGTTGTCGTAGTTCTTTTTTTCCCCGTTCGGCCCCCTGAAGCCTAGAAGCGCGTGACGTTGCGCGCAATACCTCGCGCACTCGCTGCCTTATGGATTAGGGTTCGAGTGCTAATTGGGCGGCCTGCTTTTCCTTGCCAGTAGTCACATTTCATCTTTTGATGTACCGGGCCCAGCGTGCTGGGCGGGCGGAAAAAGAGCGTGCGCCAGTGCTCCCGCCCATTCGTGCCGTTGCTCTATCATCCCGCCTGACTTGCTCCTACCGGTGCTACGATCCTCCTTTGTGGGCACGGATGTTTGACCACGGTTGCCAGATGGCTGCCAAAGATGCCGGCCGCCGGTCGGGCATCCCCCGGCTGACCCGTGCCGGGGGGCGGGTGTCATCGAATCCTCCCTTCCAGAGATTTATTTCACCCCCTGTTCGCAAGGTGGTTGTCGTGGTTGTTGTTGTCGTCGTCGTCGTCGTCCTCGTCGTCCGTCGTTGCCCCCCCCTTGCTCCGTGCCCTGCCTTCCCTCCTTCCTTCCTGCTTTCGCCCCGTCCCTTGCTCTTGTCCTCCCTGTCTGTTGTCGTCATTAGCGTGACATGCGCGCATCACGCGGCCCCGCCTAGCCCTCTCTCTGCTCCGCTTCTGCCCCTCTGCCCCAAGTCCGTTGTAGCACTGGCGGGGACCGCCAACCGCCAGGGCTCGACTCCGCGCGGCCCTTGGCTCAAGTGTGACGTATCCCAGCCCGCGCGGATCCGCCCCCGAGTGCCTGAGTGCTAGGGGCCCGATGGAACCTGAGGCGGCGCCCTTGGACAGCCTGCGCACAGCGGTCACGCGGTGGTTGGGGAGTGAGAACAGCCCCTTGGAGCGTGCCGCGGCCTTGAAGGACGTGCGGGCGCTGCAGGGGTGTGCTCCTGCCCTCCCGCCGGCGCTAGTAAGTAAGACGGGGCCCTCGGCCGAGCATCTCGCCACCATCGTGCATGCTCTCCGCCGTTTCATTGGGGAGGAGGTCGCGTCACCCCTCCATGAGGCGGGCCCCCCCCAGCGCCCCATCGCGTCCCCATATGTGGGATGCATTACAGAGACTGAAGCCTCAGCTTTCGCAGCGAGAAGCCCGCCTGCTCAGGACCCCGGCCCCCCTTTGTGTTTTGCCATCCTCAACCCAGGCAGAACGGGCTTCATTGCGTTAGGCACGGGTGCGTTGTTGGACTGGAGGCTGGAGGCCGTGGGGCACGCACTTGTAGCGCGCGGGGTGGATATCTGCGTGCTGCCAGGTGCCCGCTTTCCGCCTGGCGCGTGTCTCCCGCCTGGCTTTCCGTATGTGTGGCGTGGGGTACGTTCGACGGAGTGGGGGGCCGTTGGTGTTTTCGTGCGCACGGAGTTCTCTTGTGCACTGCGGCCGATTGCGGAATTGTCTGGCCCGCGGGCTCAATGGTTTGCTATTTGGGATGACAGCGCGTCTGCTGTCACGCCACTCCTCGTTTTTTGTGCTTGCTATCCGGCTCCTGGTGGCGATGTAAACACATGGTTGTTTATTCTGCACTCCTTGCAGGAGCTTAGGGCGCGATATCCGAGCTCTCTTTTCCTCGTGTGTGGCGATGCTAATATCCACTTGTCCCAGGTCCTCCGGCATGAGCCAGGGTGCAGGTGTGCGCATTGTGCCCCATCAGCTGAGGACCGTGCAATTGAAGCCCTGTTGGGTTCTGCTCAGCTCCTGGCCTGGAACCCCCCGGTGCCTACGCATTCCTCTGGCACCTGCATTGATCTGGTGCTGGCGCCCAATGACCAGGAGGTGCAGCCAGTTCATGTGCTCGAGGCGCCGGGCGTTTCTTCTGATCATAGCCTTGTGGTGTGGTCAATGCCTGTCTCCTGTCCGCCACGGTATGATGTTGGCTTCGGCAGGGTTGCGTGGCGCACGGGGCCTCAGTGGGACGCGGCCCTTGATAGCGCGGCCCCACTCCTGCACTCACTTGCCGCGTCCGTCGAATCCCTCATTGGTGAACCGTGGCTGCGCCCATGCTGGTTTGGAGGTGGAGCCTCGAAGGCAGAAAGACGCATTTTCGTGGACGCGGCTGCCTGGGCGCGGGATGCAGTGTACGTTTTATTAGGCCATTCTGCGGGGGCCACGCGAGCTGTAGTGGCGGGAGCTGCCCAGCGGCGGAGCGCGAGGGAACTGATTAACCCGCAGGCATTCGATAAGCATGAGGACTTTAAGCGGGCGGCGGCTGATGCGGCGTGGGCCCAACGGCACCGTGCTGCAATGCAGTATGCGCGTTTACGGGCGCAGGACCCTGGCTCAGCGGAGCGGTTCGTTTCGCGTGTCTTCGCAGAACAGCGTGCGTTCAAGATTGCCCTTGTTGGTGCGGAGACAGGCCAGGCCCTTGACCCCTCAGGCATGCTGGCGCGAATTCAGGAGGACCTCTTTGCGCGAGTCCGCAATGACTTCCCTTTTGACGAGGGCGCTGCTATCGCGCAGCGGGATCTGGTCACGTCCATCCGGGCTGCTGGGGGCGGCCCGGAATTAGTGTCGCCGCTTGGCGCGCAGGAGCCGTTGTACACTATACGCGAGGTGGATGACATGCTTGATGCTCTTAAGCCGACGTCGGCTGCTTTGAAGGGGTGTTACGCGTCCCTGAAGTCATCTGTGCCAATGGGCCGGCGGCTTACAAGGGCAGTGGCGAATATCTCTCGGCACTGCGGTCTCACCAGCAATCTGTGGTCGGCCCGTCAGATCTCACCCCTGCATAAGTCGGGGCCCCGCGTGGTGCGTCAACTCAACTGCCTGCGGCCCATCTCCATCTCCACCGTGATGGCATCGGTGGTGGATGGCCTTTGGACCTCCCGGAATAGGCGTCGGCTTGAGGCATATTGTGGGGTGGCCCAGCAGGGTGGGGTAGGTGATCCGTTGGTTCTCCTAATTGCCCTCCTCCTCCATGCCCAGTGCCGAATGGCCCAGGGCCTGCCGATTTATTGGGCGGTCACTGACCTGCAGTGGGCCTTCGATGTGGCGTCCCACCTGGCCATGCTCATCAACGCCCACTCGGCGGGAGTACGAGGTGCCGACTGGTTGCTTCTAGATGACTTCATTGCCTCCGACTGCCAATTCGTGGCTTTGCAGGGCCTCGCGTCGTCGTCTTTTGAACTCGGGGGCGGCGCTGCCCAAGGTCGGCGGTTTAGCGTTCCAGTTTTCAACGCTCAGCTGACATGGCTCTACCACGAGGTGGAGCATAGGCTGCCGTGTGGATCGGCAGCATGGGTTCCTCCGCACTTCCGTCTGGCGGTGCCTCTCGGAGCGCCGGTGGAGGGCCGCCCGGCCATGGTTAGTGCGTCGGCTGAACTCCATGCGGCGGCTGCGGGGGCGGCGGCGGCGGCTGCTGCGGAGCACCCACCTCACGCTGGCGCTTGCGCGAGGATCCGGGAGTTGGCGACCCGGCTGCCGTCGGAAGCTGACCGCGCGTACCTAATGGATCTGTTGGGGGCGTGGCATCTGCCTCCATTACAATTTGTGGACGACTTGACCGTCGCGTGCTCCTCCCCCGGCGCTTTGCGCGCGATCGCGTCGTCGGAGCCCGAGTCAGCCTGCTCGCGATGCGCTTTCCGCACCCGAGCGCGTCTTAATTACGGCTCAGGGAAGACCGCGGCTCTTGCCCTGTGTGGCAGCGCCCCGCCGGGGGATGTCGGGTGCCCTGTGGTCTCTCAGAAAGCAATATTGGGCGTCCTTTTTGACGATGAATTGTGATTCGCTCCCCCGTTGAAGGCAACTTTGGCCAGGGGGCACAGTCTTTTTGAGAGTGTCCTCTTTTTGGGGGAGACGGGTGGCTTGGCCTTGCCTGTCATTTGTGCCATGGTGCCAGCCCGCGTTGAGTCGGCAGTTCTGTATCCTGTCCCCTTCCTCTTCTGCGCGGCACGTGCGCAGTGGTAGCTTAATTCCATGCAGGCAGCATGGGCCCGCCGCCTCTTGGGTTGCGCTTGTGGCCCCCCTATCCCAGCTGAGGTCGTGCTTGCCCAATGTGGCTGGCGCCTTCGGCTGGGGGCCAAAATGGTGGAACGCACAATCATGGCCTTCGCCCGCGCTCAGCTCCAGCAGGAGGGGCACCCTGCTCGCGCCATGTTGGACCTCGCTGATGGACTAACAGTCAGCACCTGGGCAAGAAAAGTGCCCTCTCACATGGCGGCGTTCTCTCCGCCCATCCCCCGGGTCACTGAATGCCAACTCTTTGAAGCTTACCCTCTGGATGCTGTGCGGGCGGGCCCGGGGTTACGTAGGGCTGCTCTGAGGCAGTATAAGCTCGGTTTTGTTCGACCTGCTCTGGTGGCGGCTGACTTGGCAGCTTTTCAGCAGGCGGCCTCAATGGTTCTGCCTGCCCTCGAGCGCGCTTTTTCTAGTCTCCAGTCCTCGCCTGCCCAGCGCCCCGCGGAGTTCCTGAACCTTGATTTTGGCCCGCCCACGTGGCAAATGGTCCGGCTTTGGGCTGTTGTGCGTATGTCTGGGTGTTGGCCTTCCCCGGTGCTGGGCGCCCCGATCCTGCCCCATCGCTTGGCGCGGTGTGCTGCGTGTGGAGCTGAGGATGTTGACGTGGCTCACGCCCTCCTCCAGTGTCCCGCCTTAGATGGTCACCGGGCAGCGTCGTGGCCGGCTATTGCTCTCCCTGCCCCCTCTGCGCGCGCCCTCGCTTTGTTCCAACTGTTTAGGGAAGGGGTGCCTGAAGAGACGCGCGTGGCACAAGTCCGCTATGTTGCTGTAGCGATTTGCAGGGCGCACTTGGGGTAACCCGGGGTAGCGCGTGCGGCTTGCGTTCTCTCCTCTCGCTGCTGCTGTTCTGCCTCCCCCCCCTCGCTTCCGCCAGCCTGTAGACCGCGCGCCGCTTTTGGGGTGCAAAGGGCGTGCACCGCGTCTAGCCCAGTTCTGGGTGTTCGGGTGGAAAGCCCTGCTCCCGCCCCCGTTTTTCTTTTCTCCGCCTCCTCTGCATTGCACGCCCTGGGGCGCCAGGGGCGTTCGCCGCACCTGGGCAGGGCCCGGTGGGTGGGGAGGGCCCCCGTCGTTGCCCAGGGGGTGGTGTGGGGTGGCAAGGTGAAGTCAGCCACCCGGCACGGGCTCATAGTGAGTCGCAGTGAGCGGCCAGGTCCCCTGTTGCCGCCGCCTGCTACGCGCCAGGACAGCCCCGCGCCTCGTGTCAGTGTGCCCTGCTTCGTTCCTCCCCTTCCCCCCCCTCGCCCCCTCTTCGTGCTTTTTCCTTGGGTGGTCTGACGGGGCCAGGCCAGTCCGCCCTGCTGGCCACAGGGCAATTTTGGTCGCGCTCGGGCCGTGCCTGTGGGGTCTTCTGCCCCCGTTCCCCGTCTCTTCGGGCCGTCTCACCGGGCTTACGCTGGTCTGTTGACCTCGTGCTACCTCTGGGTTGCAATGGGCGTGCACGGCATCCCTTGGACCCATTGGTTGCCTTTCACCTTGTGGTCTATGCGCTCGCCATGTCTGACCGTTGGCCCCTGGGCATGCGGGGGGGGGGTGCGGAGCTCAGTCGCTTGCTGCTTCTGCTAGCTGTCTCCCCGCGATGCCTGCGCTTGCACCGCTGACCAGGCCCTGGGGCGACGCATGGGTGCCCCCGGTGTGAGCCGGGGCCCATGGGCGGCCCGGGCTGGTGAGCACTCACACTCTTTGGGGGGCCAACGATGGGGAGTGAAAGACCTCCACCAAACCGGGGCCACCTAGCGGCTCACTCCACTGCCCGCGGCGTCCAGGTGAGGGCTGAGTGAGCCGCCGCGGGGGCTGGCGGCACGGCGCGGCGCGTCCGCGGGCGCGGGCGCGGGCGCCGGACCGGACGTCGCCGCAAGCGGTATGAAATGAAATGAACAAATTACTCTATCTGACCATCGCCTAGTCCTTGCGGAGGCGCCGTGCCAGTGTACAGCCCCGTGGGCAGCGGGCCTTGGTAGAGTGACCGTCGGGCCCCCAGTGGGGCGAGGGCTTCGGGGAAATCTCAAGTACCCTCGTGTCGCTCAGTCGGTGCGTGGAAGAGGTGTCGAGCGCCTCGTGGTTACGGCCGCAGTGGTTTGGTGGCAGTGCCACCAGGTTGCAAAGGCGCGCGGTAGTTAACGTTGCGGCTTGGGCCCGCGATGCCGTCTATACCTTGGTGGGGCACGCGGCCGGCGCCACCGAGGTGAGGGGGGGCAAACGACGGATCCCGCAGGCCACCGCTCGTAAGCTGCTGGACCCCGCCAGCTTTGCGTCGCACCAAGAATTTAAAATGGAAGTGGCACGGGCTGCGTGGGGCGAGCGTAGGAGGGCGGTCCATTGTTTTTAGCATCTCCTGGAGACCAACCCTGGAGCCGTGGAGCGGTTCCTTTCGGGTGTCTTCCAGGTGTGGAAACGCTTTGACGTGAGGCTGGCAGACCTGACCACGGGGGCCACGATGCCTCCCTCGGAGATGTTTGAGGCCGTCCAACGCGATCTTGTCGCGCGCGATAGGGGCGATTTTGAGCAGGACCCGGAGGCCGCGGAGGCCATGGAGAGACAGGTTGCCAGGATCAGGGAAGCGGGTGCCCTCGAGGGCGCGCTTGCTCCGTCACCCCCGTAGTCGGACACGGAAGTGATCGCTGTGTTGGAGGCCTTAAAACCAGGCAAACGCACGCTGCATGGCTGCTACGCCGCCGTCCGGGCGGAGGCCCCTGCAGGGATGCGCCTGACTACGGGCCTGATGGACCTGGCGCGAGCCACCTGTGTGACTGCGAGAATCTGGTCGCTGCGGCAGATCACGCCTCTTCGCAAGAGTGGCCCAGCCACCGTGCGTGACGTGTCCGCCTTGCGGCCGGCATCAATCGCCACGGATATGGCGTCTGTTCAGGACGCTTTCTGGGTTACTCGGAACAGCGGTCTGCTAGGAGGCGTTTTGTGGGCCATGCCAGCAAGGTGGCGTTTGAGACGCCCTTACTATTGTCGTGGGCTCGGTCCTGCAAGCCCAGCTGCGCCACGCGCAGGGCCTCCACACCTGGTGTGCCCTCGCGGACGGGAAGTGGGCTTTTGATGTGGCGTCGCGCCATGCCATGCTGTTAGGTGTCTTCCAGGCCGGCGTGCGTGGGCCGGATTGGCTAATCCTAGACGACGTACTGGCGCAGGATCACCAGTGCCTGTGCGTGCATGGGCTGCTCAGCCTGGTCTTTATGCTGCTGCGTGGCACTGCCCAGGGCAGGCGTTTTTCCGTGCATGTTTTCAACGCCCAGCTCCGCGGGCTCGCGGATGACATAGCGGACGTGCTCCCACAGGGCTGTAGCACGATCGTTCCGCCATTCGCCCGGGCAGCTATGCTCGACGCGGTGGAAGACGCGCCGCAAGTGCACTGCGTCGCCCCGCCGCGGGGGGAGCTCCAGCTCGACGGTGTCGTGAGGGAGGCGTCGCGTCTGGCAGCGGCGGTATTGACGCCATGGCCGCAGGCGGGGCACTTCCTAAGCGGGGCCCTGAGTGAGCTGTCGTCGCTGGCCGATCGCATTGACGTGGTGGAGCGTTTGGGGTCTCACCACTTAGCCTCCCCGCAGTTTGTAGATGACATCGCCACGCCTTGCCCGTCAGAAGGGGCCGAGAGGGCAGTGTTGTCCGAGGAGGAATGATCAGCCTGTAGCCGCTACGCTCGGCGCGTAAAGGGGCGCTGTAATTGCGAGAAGGGTGAGACGGCGGCCCCGCCCCTCCTGGGTGCCCCCTCGCCTCTTTCTGCAGGGGCCCCAGTTGTGCTCACTACGCGTCTCCTAGGCGTCCTAGTGGACGCTGGCCTCACCTTTCAGCCGCTGCTCCAGGAGACACTTGCGAGAGGCAGGAGCCTTTTTGAAGATTTACTGCAGGCGGCCGAGTGCGGTGGCTTCTCTGTCCCGGTCACCGCAGCGCAAGTCCCCCCGCGCGTGGAGTCGGTTATCCTTTACGCCTCTCCACTTCTGGCTCTAGCCGCAGGGGCTGAAGCAGCGCTGAACCGCCTCCAGGTTGAGTGGGGCTGCAAGCTCCTCGGCTGCCACACGGGCCCGCCTGTCCGTCACAGTGTGGTAGTGGCCCACTGCGGTTGGCCGCTGAAGCTGGGCACGAAGTTTTTGGAGCGCGCCTTGATGACGCAAGCCAGGCTCGCCGTTCTTCCGTTGGACCACCCGGCGTCCCGGGCCTGGCAGTCTTCACGGAACACGCACGTCCCATCCTGGGGCACCGCAGTGACTGCACTAGCAGGGCGCCTTCCGTCGCCGCCGTTGATGTTGGATAGACACCCGGCTTGTGTCGGGG